GTGATTTAAGCAAATAAACGCCCGGGTCTATTATTAGAAGCTTTACGGTATATAATGTGTCGGTGCTGCTCGGTAACAGACCCGGGACGTGGAAGGCGGGCTGCTCTGAGATTCCGGGTAAAGGCCGATAGTCGTGAGGTCTTCTGATCTTCAGCGACTGACCCTGGAAAATGATTCCATCGAAGGCCATGGCCTGCGTCGTCTCGTCCACAGACCGGAACTGGAAAAGCAAAAATCATGTTGAGACTTCTGCTGCAGGTCGTCGTCACAGGAACACAACGCACACTTATAGTAAAGTCAGAGAAAGGTTTCTACTTTGTCTGCATGTGTGTGTTAAATATCTATAAACTTATATCAGATCCAACAGAAATCCTGTAATCATATTTGTCTGTTTAACTTTAAAAGTTTATTTGTAGGTGGATTTTATTTGTTACCTTTGCACAGAGTCAGGCTAGCTGTTTCCCTCTGTTTCCAGTCTTTATGCTAAGCTAAGCTAACCAGCTTCACAGACAGACGGACATTGAGAGAGATATCAATCTTTGCATGTAACTCTGGGCAAAAAAGACAATAAGTATTAATCTTTAAAGACTTTGTGACGGAGCATATTGTTTTGAGACTGCAGCACAAACCTCTAGGAAAGCAAAGTTTTTATCCTGATTGATCTGCACGGCGAGTACAGGGTTGCTCGGGGCTTGTGAAAGACCTGCGAGTCTCATCTGAGCGTTGAAGAACTCCGCCATGGACTCCTGAGGAGGAAGACAACAAACACCGTTGCTGGAAACAAACACAGCGGCTGAATCGGCGCCAGACGGGAGGTCAAAGAGCAACCGGAGACGGTTTACCTCAGTGACTCCGAAGGGAATATTCCCCACATAGAGGCGTCGGGCTTGTCTCGTCATCTGACTGCCAACTATGGGCACTTGTGTCGGAGCCGCAGCCACTCCAGTGGTGGTGGACGTCGCCAGCAGAGCTATTGTTGGTATCTGCCCGGCCGCTGAAGGAGAGAACACGTAAGGATCTTCACCTACAAACTGCCAACAACAGTTTTATGACTTTATGGTTAATATTAATGGATTTAATCGCTTATTGCAACAGTTCCCATCATTTCGGGGCTTTTTGGGAATGTAAACTGTTGCCATGGGTTACACTTTTTGTCTGTATTTGGCACCATTAAAAGCAGTATTGTGCAGTAACTCATTACTAGTAATAATAATAATACTCTCCCCAGTAACTTGTAGTGTAACTTCTGATACATTTTAGTAATGATATTACAGTTATTCCCCCAAAAAGTAATTAGTTACAACCTTACTTTTGTAATTTAGAATCCAATCAGATCGTTGGAATAATTTCTGTAATCGAGGAAGAAACATTCAGAGGCTGGAAATACTCGATTACTTTAATTTTCACGAACTAAACTGGATTTTAATCATTTTAAGTCTAAATTTTGGGGAGAAAGTAGCAGAAAAGTGATATAACTAGCAGTGTAAGTAATTACTGTTAGCAGGGAGTAATAAGTAAAGTAATAATATTACTTATTAAAACAGTAATGAGTAATAGATTACATGTTTTGAGTAACTAAGTGATACAAAGTATGCCGAATTAGCTATTAGCACTTCCAACAGATCACTTTAATGCTGAATGAAAGTTAAAAACGTGACGTTTGTAAAGGAGGTTCTGTAGTTCTGAGAACTGGCTTTATACTAACAGACCTCAGGAATACTCAACAACACAACAACACTCCTGAGAGACGTCTGCGGGACGGAACCAGCACACAGAACATGAAACGAACCTTGCATAGCTTTATATTGCATTGGTGTGATGTGTTCGAAGCCCGGAGGAGGAACGTCCCAGTATTTGCACGTCCTTTTCTTCCTCGTTCGCCTCGGAGAGTGACTGGATGCAGAGAAATTACAAAATAAAAGCTTCAGGCAGTGAAACATGGAGCCGCTAAAGAGACGAAAATATCAGCTGAAAGAGGGTAAATACTGGACTGGTTCTGGTTCTGGTGCAACAGAGAGCTGGTTCTGGTTCTGGAGCAGCAGAGAGCTGGTTCTGGTTCTGGTTCTGGAGCAGCAGCTTTCACCCACTGACCTGTGCTTCTTGTGGTCCCGGGAGGAGCTCCGGCGGTCCCGGCTCTTCCGGTCTCGGCTGCGGCTCCTCTTCTCCCGGCTGCGGCTGCCTCGGTCTTTGCTCCAGCTGCGATGTTTGTCGCCTCGACCCGGAGAACCACTGCGACTCCTCTTCTTGTGTCTCTCTCTTTCTCTCTCTGCACAGCACGAAATGATTACTACAATAAAATACTAACAATAATAATCATAAATAATAATAATAATACGACTATTGTATAAATAATAATAATAATACATATTTATAAATAATAATACATATTTATAAATAATAATATGACTAGTGTATACATAATGATAATAAATAATAATAATAATAATAATACGACTAATGTATAAATAATAAAGTGTGAGAGCTGCAACTGACATATTAGTATATGACTATATTTAACATATATTACTGATATATACTGAATTAAAAGACAAACATTTACATAACGAAAAGTGTTAATTCTCTTCTTAAATAAATAAACTTCAGACTTTAAACACTCTGTTTCATTAATTACTCTCATTCATTTTGTTGGAAAGTGTTAAATACTTAAATAAAGGTTCTGAGCACTTTGCTTTATTTAATGTAGCAGTGAGATTAAATCTCTCTCCTCGAGCTTTAGAAGTCGTAACAGGTCATTTTCCCCTTTTTTCTGACAATTTATTTATTGATTATTGATTAAACATCATTCTTGTACAGCTTTAGATCTTTATCTGTCTTTATTTATATTTAAAAAGGCAGCAATGCAGATTCCTCGTGTGTAAAAACGGATTTACTAACGAACCCGATTGTGAAAATAATGTTCTTACAAAGGTTCAACTAGAACTGAATACAATCACACACGGGCTGATAGACAAACGTAGAGACGGTGGAGTGATGAGCCGCCATGTAGCTGCCCTCCAGCAGCAGGTAGGGGTTGGTGCCTTGCTCAAGGGCACACTGGCAGTGTCCAGGAGGTGGAACTGGCACATATAATTAATCCTATAAATAACAACGGCTTAATTACCTAATAAATACTTCACCTCTCTGATTCCTCTTTTATACCCACTCAAATCTCTCCCGCTTTAATTACCAGCGCCGATGTTCTTCACTCGCTGCAGGTAATTACATTTTTTCTGTACAGAAGTGTCTGTTCTGTATTAATTACATATTAATTATATATTAATTATACATTAATTACAAGCTCTGCCGCCCTCCAGCCTCCAGGAGAAACCACTGCATCCTGTTCCTCCTTCATGACGGTTTAATGTGGCCTTTTCTTCTCGGAGAGAGGGGGGACATGACGGAAGACCTTTTAACGGATCGATGGAGGTTTCCGTGCGGTTCTGATCCACCTGGTGGCTCGACGCGGACTAAATGTCAACTTATAGATGTGTTCTTTTATTCTTTAATACCTCCTTTTCTATTACTTTCTTCCTTTCTTCCGTGGCTGGGAACCTTCTTTGTGTTGAATGTCACTTCAGACTGCTTTCACTCCCCGTACTCGAGTTTGTTCTTTATTTCCTTCATCAGTTCATCTGACAGGAGTTTTAATTATTAATAAACTAATGTTTTAGTTGTTAAAATGTTGGAGAATAGTGAAAGAAATCCCCATCACGGCTTCCTAAAACCCAGAGTGACGTGTTTAAATGGGAATTAAAATATACTTTAATCAGTTTTTATTGTAAAGTAAAGCAGGATTTTCTCACACTGGAGAAGATTATTATTAGATGTATTAATAAGTAGAGCTGAGACGTTATTAATGTTGTTTCATTGTGAGATTTTGTATTAATTTCATTAACTATGGATGCTGTTTTTATTAAAGCAGGATTTTCTCACACGAGAACAATAAAGTTATTAATTTATTACCTATTTCTATTCTGATGATTGACTAATAAAGTTGTCTCATGATTGTAAAACTTTTCATTTTCAGGCGAGCTACATGAACAAGCTTTATTATTATTATCAGTATCATATATTTAATTAATTATATATCATAATTAAATATCATCCAGTGGAGCAGTTGAGCTGTTTTCCCTCTGGTTGGCGCTACAGAGCACCGTAGTTATATATACTGTATATACTTTTATATTCTCCTGCCTCATGTACTGACAAATACCTGCACATTAATATATATTTCAGCATCATTTGCACTATTTTCTACAAATGTTATTGTTTTTGTTTGTTTATAACTGTACATACTAGTTTATATCTATTTTGTTGAGCTTGTTGTTTATTTATTTATGCTTATTCTGTGTATGTGTGCCAATAAAAGTGATTCTGAGTCTGGTTTTGTTGTGAGATTTTGTATATTTTAATAATAATGTGTTGCAACAACGAATAATGGATGCCACTTTTTATTTTTCAGTTTTTATTAAAGCAGTAAATCCTCACACTGGAACAGATGGAACAAGAAAATATTAATACATGGGTTCAGTTTGCAAAAGGTAATTGCAGAACTTTTTAGTTTTATGCATTATATATTTAATGAATTCATATATCATAATTATATATCATTCAGTAGAGCAAATAAGTTGCTGTGCTGTGATATTCCTGCATTAATTTTAATAATAACGCGCTGCAACAATTAATAATGTGTGCCGTATTGAAAAGTACATAATAATGAATCAGAAAATGTCTAGTTGAGCAGTTTCTGCCTTCATATGTCTTCACAGGAGAGAATAACATTTAGAAATGTGAAATATCTGAATGGAGTTTGGTGCCTGGCTGTCTCGCGCAGGTTAAGTTCCCAGTGAAACTCACCGGTAACCAGACTGCGTTCACTAAGTGTATGAAGATTTAACAGCGACGGTAGGATGAGGGTAAAATCACCGGGACAATGATTAATAATTATTAATTCTGCTAATATGAACAACAAGGAAAACAAGCTGAGTCATAGCTCGTGAAACTACCCGTTAAAGTTGCCGTCGGGTTATTCATTCATAAAATAGCGTCGTTAACATTACGCACTATCAGCAGCGTTGCTCTGCTAGCTTCAGCCGGGGCCGTTCATTCTTACCTTGTCGATTCTCGCTCAGCTGTTTCTCAAATTCCTCGAAATCCGACATTTGTACCGGTGATTTCGGTGTGTATAAATAACGCAGGTCTGTCACGTCTGAGGGGAACGATAAACCAACCAGCCCGCTGTGTCAGTGCAGCAAAAAAAAAACAACACACCGAAAACCTCACCGGCTACAGTACATCCGGTTACAACCTTCAAAATAAAACCACCGGACTCGCTCAACGGCAACGAACGCAGTATATCTGGTGACGAGCTTCAAAATAAAACCACTCAGGTTTACATGGGTTTTTATTTTAAGAGATTGTTTCACCTGTTTTACTCCAAAGACCAACATCATATATAGAAATAAAGACAAGATAAAAGTAATATTGATAAGAAGTA